CAATCCCAAGGTATGGGTGGGTGCTGGAAGGAACTAAAATATGAATATGGACAGATGGATGGATGGGCAGCCTTAGGCATTGATGTGTTGGCCATTAAAAAGCCAGTGAACTATATTTCAAGTAGTAATTTAGGATTTAATTCTAACTCAATTCAAGGAAGGAAGGAGGGAGAGAGGGAGGGATACACCAAATTAAATTGTCTCCTTCCATCCTGTTTGACCCATATGGAAGAAATCTTAGCAACTAATTGTCTTAATTAAGAAATATCTCATTTTCTACATTTTCAAATGAAGTTAATAGTTTTTCATCTGGAGAAATAGGTACTGTTTTCATCAAAGCAATGCTATACACTCGCAGTAACTGCATAAGGGCAGAGGTGTAATTCAGTAGACACGATTGCAGTTATATGCATGGCTACTCAAGGAACAAAATAAAGCTTTATTGGTTTTATGATGAATGTGTACCACGCATAATGTAACGACCTACGTTGTATGATGTCACACCTGTGTTCTGACCATCTTGGGGGGAGTGATAGTGCCTCCCCTGCCCCATCTCAGACTTGATTTCCCCCCAAGCTGTTGAGACTCTGTCCCCAGTACTAATTTTTTTCTTCACTGGGAACAAAGCCGCAGACGCCTCCTGGTAAAATGATGTATGTGACATCATCTCACATGGCCCTCCAAGAGCAGGTGTGAATATTTCTGTCCCTTTACAAAGTCGGTTTCTTGGACCATGGTTTAGATAGCTGCCTCTATTATTATTTTTAATTGCTATGTGTAGATGTCGGATGATGGCTTTAGAATCTCAGCCTGTTGGTTTTCATCATTGTCATTTCAAAGCCTTCTCTGAAAACGGGCGCTACAAGTCAAGAGTGTCCGTGGTGGTGGTGGGGGAGTCAAAAAAGTTAAAATGGCGACCATGACGATGTGATCTGATCGTGCATTTGAGAGTGCCATATTGACTTTTTGACACCCCCTCTGTGTCAAAAAAAAACTCTGCTGGAGGTTGATTTCTTTTTCCTTTTAAACTGAAGTCAGCCTAGAACTGCCATCAGTGAATTTATAGAAAACAAGGAGAGAGTGTGGCTGTATGGACAGAAGCTTGTTGGAGGAAGCTATCATGGCTAATTTAGTTTATTTACTGAGAGTCGGTGGGTTTTAACATTAATCATATAGGGCATAGCTTTATTCTATTCTATGCAAGTCGTGCATTTGGAGGAAACTGAACTGTTTGTTATATGAGATGTCAACCCCTCCACTGGATAAAAATGGGTCTGTATAGAATAGCTTAGGAGTTGGACTTCGGGTGACTTTGGGCCAGTCCTTCTTTCAGCCTCACCTACCTTACAGGGTTGTTGTGGGGAAAAGTAGGAAGAAGGAGTGCTATGTATGCCGCCTTGAGTTCCTGAATAAAACCAGTCAATCTTAAAGGAAATCAACCCTGACTGCTCATTGGAAGGATTGATCATGAAG